CTGGGAAGAATACTTAACAACAGTATTGCTTTATTTTCTCTGGTGCTTTATCTATTTCTCTGTTATCACAAAGTGGTCAGCAAGTGCCCTTGTGCTGATTTCTTTGAAGAAGGCAGGCTTTTAGGCAACTTCTACTATATTACACGTAGTAGATTATCCCTTCTTAGGTGTTGTAAAGCTCTTGTTGAGCTTTAAATACTACAACGTCCACTTATATATTTGAGATCATAGTCAAAACTAATCAGTAATAGTGGGGTTCAAGTTAAAACAAATTGGACTTATAATGAATTTTAAGCAATGTTCTGGAGTCCCAAATTATAGTTTTGTTTATAAGCCATCCGAGCAGCTTCAGAGCTGCTCGGGTGACTTATAAATTATAAGTCAATCCTCATAATTTCAAGCAAGACAACCTTTTTTTTCCACAAAGAAAAAAATGTCCTTTGAATTGTGTGTCAACGGCCTTTTTTTTAGTGCTCAACGGTCGATTTTTTTCTTTTTCTCTCTTGTTGAATCCATAACAGCAGAAATAATGCACTTTGCGAGCCTCTTGTACCTTTGTTTCAGAAGGTTTCAGAGCCTGTTCTTTTTTTACACTACAAGAAATATAATATTTTCTGGGCAGAAAATTAAATTATTGATACACAAAAATATTGAGAGGCCAGGCAAAGGGCAAAAAATAAATAAAAATATGCATCTTGTTCCCTGCGTTGAGAACTTCACTCTCCATATTTTTCCGTATTTTTACAGTCCATATTGATAAGTGTACTAACAATAAACCTTCGTAATCATCCAATTACAACCTGTAACAAGCACTGAAATTTGGCTCATTAGTGTTTAGAGAAACTTTTGATTTCTGAAAAAACTCATAACTTTTTCAATTCCGGGCCATAACGCTCGATTTTGAGTGCATTGGCAAGCTGGAATGGTCCTCCAAATAGTTCATAATAAGACCACACAGCATGCTGGTCTGCTAAAAAGGATATCATCTTTTTTATACATTTGTACATACAGATCCATAGAATGTGTGTCATACTAGCTACATAGTTATTGTCATTGTGAAAGTTTGAGAACGGGAGTTGGGCTTTCTAATGCACCTAAAATCAAGTGTTTTGAGGCAGATTTGACAAAGTTATGGGTGTTTTCAGAATTCAAAAGTTTCTCTAAACACTAATGAGCCAAATTTCAGTGCTTGTTACAGGTTGTAATTGGATGATTATCAAGGTTTATTGTTAGTACACTTATCAATATGGACTGTAAAAATACGGGGAAATATGGAGAGTGAAGCTCTCAATGCAGGGAACAAGATGCATATTTTTATTTATTTTTTGCCCTTCTCCTGGCCTCTCAATATTTTTGTATATCAATAATTTAATTTTCTGCCCAGAAAATATTATATTTCTTGTAGTGTTACTTTAGACCAACTTTACTCATATATAAGCACTTGTACAAGCTGTCATTGTGTTTTTTAGGCACCAAGCAGACTTAAAAAGTGGCTTGAGTTGCCTATAATCTTAGCTCAATTTTTTTGACTTGAACCCCACTAATATCTCTTGAAATAGATATATCTTCAATCCTACGTACCCAATAGGATTGTTTGTCAGGGTTTTAGTTGAAACTTAAGGAGTTTAAGGAACAAAGTAAGTGCCACCCTGACAGCAACGCAGCAGCAGGTACTGTACCAGTATAGTATTGAAGATACTGGTACAGTACCTATATTTAAAATACTCGAAATCAAGGTACTCAGTACAGTATCTGTGCGGAGATACTATACTGAGTACAGTACCTACAATTTAGGTACTGTGAAAACCAGCATAGAGTACAGTATTATTTGGCACATCAAGATACTGTACTGTACTGGTATCATGCTTCGATACTTAGGTACTATACTGTATCATACCTAGAGCAGGTACTGTACAGTATCGTACCTAGAGCAGGTACTGTACTGTATAGTACCTGATACTGCATAGTATTCAGCAGATACTGTGCAGTATTGATCAGGCACTGTGTGGTATTGACAGTACCTGGTAAGTACCTGACACCAAATGGACCGTTTCAAGTAAAACAGAAAGAAAGCAAACTAAAGTGATTATTTTTTGAAAGGCTAGTAATTAAGATGAGATAGGAAACCAAAGACAATCAAAAAAAGAAAAACTAAACATAAATCATTTATATTTGTTGTATAATTGTTGAAATAATCAAGAAAAGATGTGTCACAATTATCTAGCACAAGACGCAGCATCATTAGCAATGCATTGAGTCATAATATCACCCGCTTTGACAAACTTTCCCTTCATCTGAACACCCTCCACTGACCACATACGCCCACACACAAGTCTTTCAATTGCTCGTGGCTTGAGAGAGCTCCGGTCTCGGGTGCAGATATCAGCTGCGCATGAGAAGCCCCTCTCACAAGCGCACGATGTCCCGCTGATGGCTAGGTAGTCACGAGCAAGGCAGCTCAAAATCGGGTATTTGCCTTAGTTCAACTAAAGAAATCGATATCATCAGCATCTTGTTGGCAATATTTACACAAACAGCCAAATGACCCACCTTCCACCATGCCAAAGCCAGATGAGGATTCTCAACAACATCTGCTGAAGGCTCCTCGGCCATCTCCAGGTACGATCTGAGTTTGTTAGCTGTGTTGCGTCGGTTCTTGGCTTTGTGCTTGCGGAATTCTTCATCATCTTCAGCCGCTTCTAAACTTTTGCTATTGACAACCCGGTTAGAATTTGACGTGATAGGCTCATAAGGGCCATCGATGTCCAATTCAGCCTTCTTGTTGCTGTAAGCTGATTCAATTAGTTCTTTAGCAACGTTTGATTCTTCAGATGATTCTCCAAAAGCAAAGTTGAAGTAGTCAAGTCGCAGGCTTGGATGCATGATAGTCGCTACAATGAGAGTATGGGATTCGAGAGACTCCTTCAGGTAAGCCTTGACTCGAACCAACATCGCGTGATACATAGGGAACAATGGCTCGGCACGGGATTGTGTTGCGTCGATTTTCTTCTGCAGTATCTTCTTGAGCTTGACGTACTCGCGAATGACCAAGGAGCCAGTTGGTCCGTTCTGCTCGAAGAACTTAGTCAAGTTCTCAAACTCCTAAAAATTACGAAGAGAAGTTAATGTTGGATAAAAGTGATAAATTAATGAGAACAATCTGAACCGAGGCTTACCTGTAGAATCTTGATCAAATCTCTCACTTGTCGCCACTCATCTGGCAAAATCATAACCTTGTTGAAGATCCTTCGAGGTTGGTAAATGTCTGGAGGTAATGGAGTTTCGCCCACACGGGTTGATCCTGCTGTGCATGGTAGCTCCATCTGATCTTCTTTCAAAATTTGATCAATAACCTACCGACATAAAGGGAATTGTCATTCAGCAATATATTCCCAAGATGATGTGTCAGTAATGAAATAACCAACCTCTCGTGCATTGTACAACCTTTTCCAGCATTGAAGCTTGATGTTCCAACGGATTCCGTATCCTGGAATCGGCCTGGGGAGCTTTTCCTTGAGCATTGCTAGGCAGACGGCGTCAAAAAGTGAGCACATGACTGCTGAGCCACCGATCTTACGTCCTATGACATCCAGCTGACATATTTTGAAGTTAGTAGAGATAATTGCCTATATTTTATTTAGAGATAAAGTGAAAGTAAAGAGGTAAGAGGAATTAAACTTACCTTTGTCATGAGTGAGTCAACAGCGTTTGCTGCATTGCAATTACTAGGCAATGGCTCGATCGGAGGATTGGGGGCTTCGTGAGGCCCATCAATCACATCATACCAGCCAGGACGTTCTTGCGTAGGCTGAAGATCAGAGTCATCGACCTCTTGAGCCTCTTCTTCCTCAGCATCACCATCGCCATCTTCTTCTTCGGGGACAGATTGTAGAGTCGTTGTCGGAATGGGAAAATCACCAAGCATCGTCGATTTGACGAGGGGCGGTGGTGGTGCTTGGAGCCCACTGCTCACGATAAGCGCTAGCTTATGACACACGCATTGTACTCGGTCAGTTTTGTGGTTCCACCTCAATACTTCACCATGGTCTTCACAGTGTTTCGTGAGCCGTACATTCATGGCTTCAGCAAGGGTGTTGTTATTGCTGCCTGAATCGTGGGTTTGAGCTAACATGTAGATGAAAAAAAAGAAACAAGAAACAAAATAAGTTAGATTGGAATAGAAAAAAATTGAAGAATATAATTATAATAAGTTAAATAATGAAACACTTATCTTTTTATGAAGGTTGTGCTTGGTGAGGAGATTGATCAAAGGCTCAGCCAGCCAATTGCCTTTATGGTGCCACGCGATGAGTTTCAAGGCAAAGTGCCTGGTGATGTAAGTCCAATCTTGAGTGACAAACGTCACACTGGCACCCAAAAATCCATATTGATTACCCGGGGTGGTCCATGCATCATGAATGAGTCCAAACAAGCTTTTGAGTGACTATGAATAGTTGTGATTTGTCAGGTCACTTATAGAATTTGAGAAGTTAAAAGGGAATAAGATAAATAAGTAAAAAGGAACTCACCTTAAGTTCACCAATAACAGAAGACCGCATGTCCAAATAGGCCTCATGCGCGAACTTAGCTACCCATGTCCTTCCAAACAGATGGGCGTTTGGATTGGCATGTCTAAACGCGGCCCTTAGATAGGGGTCTTCCATTCGTCGCCATGGTTGAGCTGTCCTTATCACCCACATGCCTAAGAGTTGATTGAGTATTTGATGATCAAACTTGGGTACGACCTGAGCAAAAGTCAAGATTGAGGTTTGGCCTTGGGCCGAGTTGTCATCTTTAGTTCGCTGTTCAAACACGGTGAGTGGTAGTTTACAGCCAGAAGCAATTGCTGTTGATCTCTTCAGGCATCCAGGATTGCCCGACTTGCCATCCTGTCGGGATCCATCTCGATGGGCTAAAAGATTTGTCGCCAAAGATGGAGCACTGGAAACTTTGAAGCCACAGAACTTGCACGGAAAGCAAGTGCATGTCTTACCTTTCGACTATGAAGAGATGAAATAGAAGAAACAATCAACAAAGAGATATAAAGGAAACAAAAGGAAACTTACATTGATGTATGTTTCCATTTCATCGAAGTAATCACGGATGTTATCGTAATGTTGTTCTTTCTTCGGTTTCTTCGCAACTTTTTCATTTTCCTCATTGGAGTCTTGCACTAAGTTGATCTTGAGGGTGACGGCCTGACTACCATTAGTACCTGCATCCATTTGACTTCCTTGGGCTTGTTGAGAGCAACTCGACTTCTGAGAACTCTTTGACTGTTGTCCCGAGGTTGATTTCCGTGGGTTTTTGAGCTTGCGGTGAGGTCGTGAAGCTTTTGAGTGATCGGAAGAAGCTTCATCCGTTGCAGGATCATCGCGCTTGCGTTTTGTAGGTGCTTGATAAACTGAGGTGTCGGTATCAGAGTCTTCATCATGGCGTCGGACAGAACGACCGGAGTCGGCAGGCAATTTGATCATTTGGGAGGCTTTCTTAGCTGGGGAAGGTCGGGAGCTACGACGAACTCTGGGGATATCAGCTACCCCGGAAGTAGACGAGGAGGACATAATGGTGATGTGCGAGAAGTGGATCAACCTATTGATATGGGTCCAGAGGGTAAAGACGATTGTAATTATTATTAGATTATGAACAAAGTGAAAGTTGAAAATAGGAATGAACTAAAAAGGAAAAGGGGAAGGGGTGGCCATACTTTTTTGCCACAAAAGAGCCCCTGCTCAAGTAGTTTGATACAAAAGAGCCCCTGCTCAAGTGACCGAAGGGAAACTTGACACGTTGCCATTGCCGCACGTCCATGTCTAGATCGCTTCTGAAGATGAATAACACATTTTGGTTCAGTAAGGGAAGCAACAGAGGGGCAATATAGATCAAAATTGTTGGAATTGGCGATTGTACTTACCAATGTGGAAGGATCGTGGCGTGTTATTTGTTGGTCTTCGTCGTTTGAGGTGAGGTGTACTTGGAGAAGATGTACAAAACCGGAATCCGAAAGCTAGGCAAGTACCATGGTAGGCTCAATACTAGGTACTTTGCGATACTGTACTAGTACAGTACCTAGATTAAAGTACCTACAGTACCGGGAAAGATACCCGGTACTGTACCTAGTATTGTGATACTTACAAGGCCGGTACTGTACTGGTACCTACGTCTGCGGTACTATACCGAGTACAGTACCTTCACTAAAATTTTAAAAAAATTGGACCTGCAGTACAGTAGTGGCCTCTAAGGTACTGTACTGCTAGGTACTGTACCCGTAAATCTAGGTACTATACTGTACTGTACCAGTACTAGTACAGTACCGGCTGCTGCGTTGCTGACAGGGGGTGTCCTTGCATTGGCATCCATTATCATATCTTACAGCCCTTTGGTACTAGCAAAGGGATTGGGGCTCACAATGATGGTATCCAAACTTATAGTCAATATGATCCTAGACACCATACAGTGTTTATCTTGCAGCAAAACATACAAAGAGAGTAGAAAGAAAAATCAAAGTGGTAGGTATAAACTGCATTACCTGCAGCAAAGTAGGACTGAAATTAGCAGGGAAGATAGGTTTACCACATAGATTTTGCTTAGAAGAACAACAAAGTGTCAGGAGAGACAAATATTCTTAGTCACAAGACTAAGTATGATGAGTACAAAGGCGGCTCTGACGCCAGTTTCCTCGTTTATATTGGGAAGGATTATCAAATAACGGAAAATGCATCAGAGTTTCTCCAAATTCCGACGGTTTTTTACTCGAACGGTGCGCCCCCGCGCCTCCTGCAATCTGGGCGAGCCTCAGCCAACAGTCATCGCGCCTGGCCGCGCCCGGCCTTCCAAAAAACGCGCCCTTCACCTGACCACGAAGGCTTTCGACCCAGCGAGGCAGCGCCACATGTTTAGTGGTAAGTATTTTTTAACATACACCCAAACGAGAAGGAGCACAGGTGAAGTGGCACCACTTTTTGAATAGGGGTTTGAAACTCTGGGAGGTGGATTCCCACAAGGTCGAGGTAGGTTGAGGTAGGTTGTTCCGGCGGTACACAGCCCAGTGCCCACCAGTTCCTTTTTTTTCATCCCGAATGATTTGGGTGTTTGTACAAGGCAAATCGCTGTACTCCGAGTCAACGACCTCACGGGGAATATAAAGCATCACGCTTGGATACTTTTTTGCATTCTCCTCACTCTCGTTCCCTCTCCTCAATTTTTTTATCGTCAAGACTTCTGCATCTTCGAGGATCCAACATGTTTTTCACTAATATCATCACCGCCATCTATATTCTCTCTGCTATCAAAACTGTTGTGATAGCTGAAAGAAATTTCATATCCCGTCGGTCCACGTCACCTATGGTCCCTTTGAGGCCGAGAGCCCTTCCTCCATGCGAAGCTCGCAATTTATCCGGTCCAAGGCCTACCGACGACGTGGTGAAAGCTTATATTGATCTCGACGAGCTATCCGACAAGGACTCGGAATGGAGGCCGTTGGTTTGCGGTCTCGGTGGAGTAAATTGCATAGGGTCAGCGCTGAGCCCAAGTCTTGTTCCTTTGATTTATCGCATGTTAAAGTCGTCGCATTTTACAGGAGACCGGGGGAGGAACTCGTGACACTGCAACCTACTTTAGCTCGGATACGACACAACTTCACACTTAATGATGGGTGTAAGTACCACGATTCCAGATTAGACCACGCGGGTCGAGATGAACATCAGCTCATTTCTTGTGGCTGTTTATAGCGACCATTCATGTTATATATAACGGGCAGTCTACGGTGCAGGTTTGCAAGTTTCCTCATTCAAGTATAGATTTCCTTTGAACCAAAAATGACTTGAACACTGATCACCTCGTATTTTAGTGGACGGCTCCTGGCGGCACTGTGAACTCGTACATGGCGCACGGAACTGACTACATATGTGTCAAGGGTACGATGTCAGTAAAGTTTTGGGCTGATGGATCAGTGTTCAGTGCTGGGGACGAACCCATCGCTTGCATGTGCGGGTACCCTCCCGACGGCGACAAAACTATCCTTGTAGAAACCAAAGATGCTACAATGGAGTGATTTCTCTCTCAAACTTCTAAATGAATGCCGCATGCCTTCAGAATACTCCAATAAACACCAACATCGGTCATTGCTAGTCGTCAGGGCTGCTTCAGGTGTTTAGGTTAAACTTCGGCGAAACATAAAACCACATTTCTTTCTCTACTCAAGACTCACTGATGTCACCCTTAACGACACGGATACGCAGAACAATGGACAATTTATTTATACCTGCTCAATAACTACATAGAGTACAGAGTATTCTGATTCATGTGCCAGAAATTGAACTATTGCTGACCAAAGGTTGGACATTTGTTAAGTGTGATCGAGTCAACTCAAACATAGAGTACAGAGTATTCTGATTCATGTGCCAGAAATTGAACTATTGCTGACCAAAGGTTGGACATTTGTTAAGTGTGAGAAGGCAAGTCTTCTAGAAATATTGACAAGGATTTCATGACCGACGTTGTGAAACGAGCTTTGCCAAAATGTGTGATAGCCTTCATGTGAGTGATGGAACTCTATCAAGTGTATTTTTCTCGGGCCTAAGAGGGCTCTTTGAGCCACATCAATGGATAGTGGAGTCATGTTAGATTCTGGATCCTTAGGTTTGTCATGTCAACATTAGGAATTCTTGAGGTTTTTATGAACTTGGTGAGGGATAGGGAAAGGTATGGAAGGGAGAAGTCTGCATAGACTTCTCCAACTCCTGATACCCATTTGCGCAGACATTACAATACAAACATACACATCAGGTATTAGGCTTATTATAACACTAATCCCCCCCTCAGAGCATCTCCAACGGAGCTTGTATTTTGAGGGCTGCCAAACAGAGCCCCCAAAATGATTCTCAAATGTAGGGGGTCAAAAAGCATGTCTTTACAGCGGAGCACTTAAATTTACGCAAATCCCCAATTGAAGTCTTCTTGTATGCTTGGACTCAAACACATATCTACTCAACTTCACACATATAGTTCATCATACATTTCAAATTGTCAATTCCTTTCAGAATCATACTCATCATGGATCCAGACCAACTTGCAGCATTTCTCAATGACCTTTGTGAAGATGACATTGAAGAAGACGCAGCTGCTGCACAAGCAGCAGCCTGGTACCGGCGTAGAGTGCCATTGGCAAGTCCCTCTTACAACATCTTGTTGAGGACTTTGGAATCTTTGGCCGGTGATAAAGGTATGATTCTTTCAGCTTGAGGAGTGGCATTATACAAGGTGTCACATGTACAATCACATACTTGACAGCTTTAGGTTAGACTAGTTACAACAGGATTTAGATTTGAGGTTTAGATTTGAGTTGTCTTTCTTTCTTATTTGTCTTTTCTCATTAGTTTCTTCATACTCTACCAGTCTCATCATGCTATTGGAGAGGGTTGTTTTCTCATTGTTTATATCAAACTAGGCCTGGTTTTTTAGAAATATATTTGAGGTTTTGAATAGCTTTGGGTAGTTTGGAGAAGATACCAGTTGTTTGAACTTCCCCTGCCCTCAAAAAAGCCACCCCACACCACCATCTGTAGTTACGTTTGGCACTATTATTTGTATTGTCCTTACCTGCTCATTGTGGTTACAAAAATCTATCATGAGTTAGGTTTTTCTCACTAAGGCTCAGTTTGGGCAAGCACCAGTGAAATATCCTAGAGGATGGGACACAAAACCATCTTCTACCCTAGTAAGAGCCCAACTTTTCCCCGCCTTTGATAATTGGATAGCTGAAAACCAATGTTAGAATTCTAATTTTTTGTAAAGTACTCCAATTTTTGATTACTAAAGCTCATCTTTTGGATCTCATAAGATGGATCATTGATTGGTCAAATATGACACACTTCTGACATGTGATGAATAATTTATTGAGTTGTAAAGATTGATAAAATAAGTGTTTTGTCATGTAAATGTTGTCACATGTGTGTATGTAAGTGCAAAAGTCAAAATTCAGACCATTTTCTTTGATTCCTTATAACACTTTCACACATCTTCTGTTACTAGTGGTTCAAAGGCTGTGCATTATTAAATGAAACCTTTTGCATCAACTGGGATATTATCCATACTGATCTGAACAGCTTTGACATATGTAATTAGTTGAAAACCATCATTTTTGATGATTTTCACACCTTTTCACCTCTTTTCACGTCTGATATTGATTTCTTCTACATCATAAGATCATTGTTGATCAATCTTTTCATAAGAATAACTCTAAAACAATCATTCTAAAACTCTTGGAACCATCAAATCCCTCAATCACATCATTACATATCTATAAATCCTGTAGTACCCTTGTTTACCATCCTCAAATTTATGTCTTTCTTGAATAACTTCACTCCTCTCTTATCAATCCTCAAGATAAAAGTTGATGATGAATAATGTGATTATGCTTGCTCATAATTAAAACTTCCTGAACCTTCAAATCAATTACTAATACCCCATTTACCATCTAATATACCTACATTTTTGACTCCTTTATGGATTTCATTATCTTTCTTCTTTTCAATTATGATCTTATGATTCAAATTAAATAACTATGATTTAAATAACTGATGATTATTCAAGAACAATTTATAATCAAATTGAAATAATATATTAAAAAAATATGAAAAACAGGACTTTTGGCCTAAAACTCCCAAATTAACTACTGATGTGATCATTTTTTGATTTTTCTTGATGAACCCTATGAATTGATCACCACAAAATTTAGGGAACAAAATGAGAGTGAGTTATGCAGATATAACTTCTATTTTAGTAGGTAAGGTCTGAATGATATAGTACTTACACTACACTAAGGCATAGTTGTAAGTATAGTAAGATGTAGTAATGTGTAGTGAGGGAGCGAGTAGCCTACTGTTCAGAACTCTCTTGTCTACGGTCCTTGATACTCCTACCTTCCTCTAGCCCATGGGGAGGAGAAGGAACCCAGATAGCTCCCAGGTAACATACTGACAAAAAGGGTATGTTTTTACTTTGAATTCTTTGTCCTGTAATCAACAAAATAGGGATTTTGCCTACATTGCATTTGGATCATAACAAATTCAGAGGTATGAGTGTGAGAAGTCTTTGACCATCATTTTTGATCATACCACCCTGCCAAAAACAATTTTTACATCCATCACATTTTGTATACATTGAATGTCACTTCTACCAACATCTGAGATGATTTGACCACTCCTTTCATAATAGTCATACCTTCTATCAATTCAGGCAAAAAAAATCAGTCGCTTTTGTGTCCACTTATAGTGTGTAAAAATTCTGGCGTATTTGTTTGTTTTGAGGTTTTTATTGTTGCAAAACGGGTAAAGACAATAGTTTTTCATGCTTGATGTTATGGACCTTGGAACAAATTTTGAAAAAGGAAATCAAAAAGCTTCCTGGAATGATACCAGCAAAAAAAGGTATTCTTGGCGTTCGTAAGCCTCAAATTCAGGTATGAATAAACTTTGGGACATTTTTTTCAGTATGTTCACTAGGAGCTATCCAGAAGCCTGGACAAGCCCCCTGCCCCAATAACCTAGAGTGTTCATATACAGATACTTCAGGTTTGGCTAGGAAAAACCTAGTATCACATAGTCTACACATTAGATTACAATACATGATAAGTGAGATGAATACAATAGAAACAGATAATTAAAAACAAAACACCACCCCAAGACACTGTTGAGTAGAGATTGGAAGGCTGGAGGTTTACTTGAATCAAAGCAAAGCCTCAGTTTTACTTGTCAAACGATCTGACAGAAATTGGAGTAGGTGGATCTACAGCTGTTACAATAGAAATCTCTTCTGCCTTTGTTTCCGTCCACTCACAAGATTCAGAGATTTGAGCTTCTGGATCTTCTAAATTTTCAGGAGGTAAGAAGATTGAAGGTTCATCTTGTTTTACTTGTCTATTGGAACAAAATATACTTTTTCTCATCCTTAATTCGTCTGAAGTTGTGAATGTTTTTTCTGGGTTTCTTTTGGACCTGTAAAATCGCATTGTTTGTGATAGTATCTTAAACATAAGACTAGAAGACATATATATAAAATAGTATGGTCTCAGTGCATGGTACTCTTTGTTTTGAGCTGTCATCCTGACAAAGCATTGAAATGAGCTTACACATTTCCAATAAGGGTTATAAGGCAGCTTATAGACTAGCGTAAAAAATCAATATGATATCAATGACAATAGGAGACAGGTCATAATTGAAGTAACGTTTCATACCAAGTCGTTTATCAGGACGAAATTCGCTGTTAATACCTCATCTATTGAGCTATTGATATACTACATCCAGAAATCAAAATAAGTAGAACTCAAGGCTGAAGCCAAAATGGTTGTTCTACTCACTGTCCAGATCAACACGGGCACCAGAATGAGACAGGCAATCAATATTATGCCAGAGATGATGATCATGATATTTTGTTCATGAACATAATCGATTGTTTGGCTTGATATATTGGAATTCTTTGTCATGATCTGACGTAACGTATCCCAGACACCAATCTTACATCCAAGTTTTCGCTTTTGTTGAATTGTGAGTTGAATATTAAAAAATTGGATCTATGGAAAACTGAAGGTTAGCAAAACATATAGTATCAGATTCGTAACGAAGTGATATCACTCACAACCACATCAAGACAATCCCAGATAATCCATAACAGTGCTCCGAGCTTCATATAAAACGACATTTGCTCCTGTATAATGAAATCAAGATACCAACCTATCAGCTCCATGATGCAAAAAAACAGCGTAAACATGATCTCACCAATACACTTGAAAGACCGAGTAATGGCTGCAAGAGCCTCAAAGCCTCGGTCAGACTGAACTGATCACCACTGGCATCTAGTGCTCTGAACTTCTCCACGACGTTGGACGTGGACGACGTTGCCTTTTGTATACTGACTTCTCCCAAAGAATATACGGTCGTGATGGCTAATCTCAATTTCTACATTAGCTAACAGTTCTCTTGGAGTTACCTTCATTGGAGTTTCAGTTGCAGACGCACATGTGAAGACCACAGCAGTCAAAACTGTAAACGTGATGTTGATTGTCCACACAACTGAACGAGGAACTTGGCTTGGAGATCCTTGAGCCATCATGTTCGGTCGCCAAGGTGGATCCCACTTACCGCAAATCTGATGAGCTGCAGTACTCCAAGAAAAACAACTAAAAAGATCCAGACTTCATCAAAACAAGGCTTTCATTGGTTTGCCATATGTACTCGAGTTCAGTAGCAGCTCACCAACTTCCAGCCCACTTGAACAAAAATTTGCTTCCAGGCAATGCCAACCGTCCTGGTAATACCGTATGTCTAGCCTCGGCCACCAAATCCCACGTAAATTGAATGATCGTTACTAAAAAAATCCTCCAAGGTGATCAATTAACATCTTGAGATGTGTGTGTAAGCTATAATTCAAGAAGCTACTGACAAGTGGAGAGACCTATGATACCCAATGCAAAACAGACACATGCATTGGGCCGCACAAGATTATCTATGATATTTGAAAGGTCCATGATCAGCTCCTGATTCTGCTGTAAACTAACCTGAGATCTCCATCATACAATTTGTGATGTTTCCGAGAGAAAACGTTCCGATTCGCTTTCGCATCACGCATGTAGACACCGCGGCTGAAAGCATCCTACGCAAATTGGGCAGTCCATTTGTAAGCTATGATCCTTCAAGACTAGCTAACTAACCATCATTTTAAGCGTCAATGAACTCACCAAAGGTTTGCTACGATATTTGCGGCGGTGATCACTTTGGCCCACGTAGGTCTCTCGGGTGGCTGAGATCATTTGAATCGAATCACAAAGTTAAAAATTGGAAGCTCTGATTGATCTCTGGATTCGAGTCTTTCACTCACTGTGACAATCGCAGCAAGATGATCCGCAACCTTTGCGTAGGGATGAGTGGTATTACTGACTGAGCTCAGCAGACTCACCACACCACCCATGAGATTGTCCGACATCTGATCGCGAAATGATTGTTGTGCCAAGGTTGGATTAAAGATATCCAAGAAGGAAGTTGTCGTTTCCGAGTAGAAAGTGAATGAAGTAAAAAATAAGACTGGATTAAGAGTGTCAATGATTCTGAATAGCATATAGGATACGTCGCGTTTATATGTATCGCATTTTGTGCTGGATCTCTTGCCCGAGAACGGTCTCGTCAAGCCGCCTGAGACTTCTCCCGCAAAGACTCAGACGCGCGAACAAAATGGTATCCTTTGGAAAAATTAAACCTTGACTATGGAACAACCGTGATACGATCGTCTATTGAGTCTTTGGAATTAAAGAAATCACCGCGGAATCCATCTGAGGTTCTATTTGGAAGAAACTCCGGCTGGGCCCGACCAAGAATATATGACTAATGTAATTGAGGGCTCTAGGTCAATAGTTAAAGGAAGATCGATATCAGTTCGTGTCGAATATCCAGAGCCAGCTAGAGCCTACGATTAATTAGCTGCCTGGCTTACCAAGAAGTTTCGGATGCGCGGGCTTTATCAAAATAGAATGCATCGAATCAGGTCACAACCTGATGCTCACCAGCTAAACCACCTTTCGGGTTCAGACTTACACTTCAAGTTAAGATAACGATCTAAACCAAGAATAGGTTTTGGGCGCTGAGATGACTCGGGTAAACTCACACGAGAGAGAATTAACCAGAAAATATGATGATAAGAATCAGAAGAATACTTTGAAGAAACGGTTCTTGAATCTTTGAGTAAAAAGGATTCTAAAACCGGGAAGAACCTGAAGTTCAAATGCTTTACTGAATATATCAAGAATCATCTTGATGGTAAAGAGCGTTGATGGTAAAGAGGCCATTTCCCAAGGAGAAGGTGTGAAATCATATCGTAGCACGGGGCTTACTCATGTTCGTTGTCACTATGTCACTTTAAGGCGCCTGTGACCTATTCTCGTATCTAGAAGCGCGCTCCTAGTGCCCATGGAAAATCAGTCGAATTTATGATCCAGTCCTTCACTCTTGAAACATACAATTTCATCATATGCAATACCAACCTCAACACCGTATAATCTGGCTAATATTTACTGAATAGCAACTGAATAAGAGAAATCAATCTAGCTGAGTAAACAGTTGAATTTCATGATTCTTATCTGAACTCAGTCAGTCAACTCAGAGTCATACCAAGCATCCCATATAGATCTCTAGAGAAAGATCTACCAATCTTCAACCAAGTTCACTTCTTAGGATAGGACGCATAATCAAAGAGACACACTGGGTAAGATTCATCAAGCCTAGTAGTTATAATCCTTACATCAACCTTTCCATGATGGTTCTTTTTAGAAAGCTAGTGACTCGATCTGCTCATCTCTTCTATGCACCAAACGCTCAAAGTAAAGCAGACAAAAAAGCACAGATTGAGAGCCTTGAACTTTCAATAATAATCAGCAATCAATAATAACTAGTAATGAATACAAGCTGATCGATCTTGATTTCAATCTTTTTATCTAATCATAAAGCTACAAAGAAGAAAAGATACAATTCAATTTTGAAACGCATGATCTTCAAAAGCTCAAGAAATGAAGCTTTGAGAATTAATAAGTGCCAGAAGAAGAATTCAAATCTTCATTATTAAAACCTGATTGATTGTTTCTCGAAAACGAATCTCCTTGATCATTTGTACCATAACCACCAGAACCAACCGCTACAAAGAAAGAAAGAAGATCAGATCGGTTTGGTTTAAGGAATGAGATGAAGAAAAGGAAATGGAATCACATTGATAACTATCATTAACTCCACCACTTGAAACACCAGATCTAGTTCCCATACCATCATTAGAACGAGAAGAATATTCATCATTGTTGAGACCGGTATTAGAACGAGAAGAATAATCGTCATTGTTTGAACTGGTTTGATTCGAATTCGAATTCATATCACCAAGACCTCCTTGGCTTTGGTTTTGACGCATGTTGGAATTGTAATCTAAATGGGGAAAGAAATCTTTAAGTACTAATCTAGCTTAAGAATTGTTTTGAATCAATCTGCGGATCACTCAACTATCGTTACTTTGATAATCATTATCATTGTTCTTTTGATAATCTAATCAAATTTCATTCCAAAAGAAACAAAAAGTTAAACAATTTCATGTTTCTGTTGGTTATCAATCATGGTGATGGGAGAAGGAAAAAAATCTTGAAGACTCAAACTGTTATTACCCATCATGGAATCATCGTTCATGCTTTGATTAGATTGACGACCCATACCGGATCCATAACCTAAGAACCAAAACTCATGAGATCAAATTTCTTTTGATAAAAACAGAACAACTCAGAAAGTGTACTCAACTGTTATCTTCTTGAGCTCCTCCAACACCTTGACAAAACAAATTCCAAGAAAATCCAGCGAAAACAGAACAAATGAATCAACAATCACTTCTTAGTTTAGAAAAAAACAAGTAAATCCGATTGATTTCTTTACCTTGTCCTCTGATTTTGTTCATCATCGATTTTCCTTCTTCAGATCCAACAAATTCTTTAGCCTACACGAAAATAAAAATCAGAAATCAAATCAAATCAAAATCCAACAATAACAAGATCTGTTGACAAAAAAAACAATGAAGCAATGAAACCAAGAAGAACAAAGAAAGTGTCGGTTCTTCACAAAAAAAATAAAGGCCAAAGTCTAAAGAATGATGAATGGTATTGAAAGATTTGATAAAAAGAAGTCGTGATTTAAAATGATAAGTTAAACTTACTTGATCTAATAACCCCATTTTGTTTTATATCTAAATCTTTCTTACAACAGTTCTTATAGTAAGATGAAGTGAAATGGAAAGGAAAGATGATGAAGGAATTACGAATCGGTGAAGAGGATGAAGGCCATTAAATAGTGAATCTGAAGTTTAAAGTTCTTGATGAAAACCCAATGACATCATCGACCGTAAGTTTAACAGAACACCACGTCATAATTCAGAATCTTTAATCTGTAAGTTGATTAACCGATCTGCTCAATTCACCAGTCTTATCTTTCGATTTCCTCTTTAACCAATTTCTCTGAGTCTGTTCATCAAATTCCCAACTTACTAAACTTTACCCGAACTGATCAACTTCTTTTCCTTTTCAAGCTCTTCGAAAAGATTATATCTCTTAAAAAAATCAAGTCTACTCAAACAAGTTCCTTCTTAACTTGACTTCCACCAGCTAGAAGTCAGCTTAAGCAGAGAATCAGAGACTGAGATATTCTATCGAAACCCGGTTCTGGACTTTCCAACTTCAAACTCATTTGATAGATCTCCTTGATTGAATTGAATTTATAAATCACAGCATACATATCGTTCAACTAAACTATCAATTTCTCAAATTCTGAAAACCCTTCACGGACAATTTGATCAATTAAGTTGAAGTCACATATAGAGATTTTGAAGATTATACTTTTAGATATGGGTAAATGATAATCTGTGATTTGAGAAAGTACACTAAAATAAGCTAGATAAGTAACTCTTTCAAAGTTCATCATAAGCATATTCAACGAAACACCTATGGAAAATCCTTTCTATCTGTTTTCTTATCTTGACTTCAATCTTTCTTATCTTGACTTTGATTTTCAAACTAGTTTACTTATCCGATGAATGAAATATAGCCTCCACTTCTATCTTGAAGTTTTGATGATTTATATATCTTCTTAGTTTTGTTTCATGATCATGATTAACGGTATCGAAATCGAACAGACTGGTCATGATACATATCACAATCAATAAAATTACAAACAGACAATTGGAATAGAAATTCAAACGTTCATAGTCTGGTCGTCTAAATCTGATTTTCAATTATCAACTCAAAACAAACACCTGCCCATTTTTTGACGTTTCTTTATGTTCTGTAGTACACTTCTTCCTATTTATCATTTAATTTAATAACTTAATCATACAAAAATTGATAATTCCTTTCTTTACCTTGTATTCGAAAAGAAAACTTGTCAAGTTTTTTTTCAAACTTGAGGAATCAAATCTTGATCACTATCATCAGACCCAACCCCTTCATCCCACGTCGGATTAATCAAATCACCATTTCCCATCCTAACAGGTGTACGAGGAGTTTGATTAAGATTATTAGGATTAGGATTCGGATGATTAGGAGTAGGAAGAACAGGAGCCCGATTTGAAGATTCAGTGGTATTAGGATTTTGAGGTTCAAGTAGTTGATCAGAACTGGTTGAAAGATTCAGGTTCGATGAATTACTAGCTTGGTTCAGTAAACTATCGATGGCTAATTCGTTCCAATGTGATGGATGGTTCAGGTTCATAAAACTTGGTGTGGCAAGTAAAGAGGTACCCGATACTAAGGAATTCGTGGGTAAGAGACGACTGGATTGGATCGGATTCGATAACACACTTGAGCTTTGTTCGTACGGGTTTCCGTAGGGGTATGAAGGATGGGCGTTGGATGGTAATAAACCTAAGAAAGAAGTTTTGATTAGTTTTTTCATTTTCTGGTTCGGTTTAGGTTAGGATTAAGGGTTTGGAAAATGAGAAATATGGATACGAAAGTGAGATTTGAAATCTACCTTCATCATCTTCATTTTGATAAGGTGGAATAAGATCCCAAACTGATTGATCAAAACCTATATATACCAACCCGCGAAAAAAACATGTTGATTACGATTTGGGTTTCATGGATCATGGTTAATCCGAATATAAAAAAACTGACGATCGTCTAGAGAGTCTATGGCCCAATCTACTTGATCATCAACATAACACCATAAAGAAGTTTCATGTGGAAGATGAATATAAGTAAATCGATCATCCTGTGTGAAAGAAGATTGGTCGGAATTTAAATCAGTTTGATTTAGGGAATGTCGGTCGTTGATTCATCGAGTTCAAGATCACTTACACTCATCTTTACTTGTTTTGCTTTTGATCGATGGTATGGATTTATCTTGTCTTGGTTGAAGTTTTGGGTTTTTGGTTTTCGAAGTTTCTATGGCATTGGATTTTAGAATTCTGAGCCTGGGATTCGGGAAGTTGATCAGATTGAAAGTTAACGACACGGTACTTACCCGAGCCCGCTGACACCACTGCTCGGTACTCTCCGGACCCCGACACACACACCAAGAAAAAGTACAAAAAAAGTTGAAAGTTTTGGAAATTTCAAGCAATCCCGTATTCTCAAATCAAATAAACATTTTTTCTCTTCACAATTTAACGATTTGCTTACTTCGTTTTCATTGTTAAGATAAGATGAAACCAACCAACCAAAATAAAAAGAAACAAACTCATCAAATCAAATGTAGTATATGTGAAATTCAAAGTAAAAAATATTCATGTCCAATTGATCAAATTCCATAGTTAAGTTTCGAACCAATTCTTTAATTTCTTTTCTCAACACCAAAAGAATCGCATTCAACCTATTTAAAAAGAATTTCTAATCAAGTTGAACCGACTTTTTTGATTTTTTTGGTTTCCAGTTGTTCAGTGAAATGTTTCAACTTACACAAACGTTTGTTACTCTTTTTCTTTCAGAACCTTGAAGTAAACCAACCATACTGAATTCTGTTTTTTTCTAATTTTAGAACAAACCAATTGTCCAGGAACGAGATCCAAGAATGAAGAAACCATCAACCGAATCAAATCACAAGAAACCCAACCTATAGAAGAACCTAAAGAAGAAATCCTGCAAGAAGAAAGACCATTGAAACGGCTCAAAGATTTACGTTGGCCTGAACTAGATGAAGCACAGTGTTCTGTTTTTTATGATCCGTTACGTAGAGATGAAATTAAACCTTTGAGGAAATTCGAATGGGAAAGAATTGGTAAATGACCACAATCTCCCCGCCCAAAAAAATGAAATCGGTCAAAACTTGAAAATCGAACTGATATTTTGATTTTATGAACGGTTCTCTTGGTTTTTGTGGTCTTTTTAGTGACTTGCATCGAATTTAGAACTTTTTTAAGATCTTCTTCTGATTCATTTAAAGAAACTTTAAAACGAATTCATCTTGAACCTAATGAGAATTTACGTCATGAATTAATTAAAGAACTTGTAGGATTCGAATTTGATCAAGGTTCGTTTATTCATCAAAAGAATCAGAATCAGAAGAATCGACAAAAAGAAAGCATTAGGTTTGGATTAGAGGATCGAAAGGTTTTTGAAGAGTTTGGTGAAATTGTTAAAAAGATTTTGGATCAAACTAGAGGAACTTGAAGGTTTTTTTCATTTTTTTTTTGAGGATTTTTTGGGGGGTTGGTTTTGTAAGTTAACATGTGTTTCAAAAAACGTTGATTTTCTAAGCTGATTGGATTAATTTTCATTTTATATTTTGATTCTTGGTGACTCAGATAATTCAAAGTGATCAATTTAAGTCAAAGGTGTTAAGCCAGATATATCACTAAATTGGCCTTAAACTTAATATTCCTGTAGGCAAGGCTTCATTAAGATTTCTTTACATACTTTTTAACATTCTCGCTGCGCATACGGATTTACTGCATCACACGAATCCTACGTCCGCCGTCGACTCGTTCATCAATACCTTCATCACTCATGACTTTTTAATTACGGCTCTGGAATTGCTTAACGGACAAACAATAAGGATTTATATGAAGAGATCTTTTCTTGAACACAAAGTTGAAAGCTTCTTGTTTTTTTTTTTTGGTTTGAAATTCGAATTGTCATGTACTAAAATTGTAGAAAAAGATATAAAGTATGTATTGATATTATTTTCAAGAGATTAGAAATAAAGAAAAGATTGATCATAATGAGGCTCACAAGAAAAAATAATCAGATTCGGTCCAGAAGAAAGCTGGTAGATTGGTTTCCAAAGTACAACCTTTTATTGTGCTGTAGGAAGTTCTTGGTAAGATCTCATAGAGAATCTATAGCGATTCTTACACTATTGGTCCCAGTTTGTTCTACTTAGAATGATATACAACACACTTGAAGAAAAAGATGCGATAGATGTTTGTTTAAAAAAAATTCAAGTAATTATTGATCAAATTATAAAGAAATCTTACAAAATAATCATAAAAGAAAGAAAAGCAATCCATGATCATCTATAATCAATTTTCAATCCAAATCTCAATTGTTAAAGAGAAAGAGAGAGAAAAAGGAAAAGAAAACAAGAAAACAAGAAAAAATGAGGACTGAAAAATCACAGAAAAAAACACTTCTATCACAACCAAGAGAAAAAAGAATTCTTAAAACAAACTTTTTCTTGCACTACCCACTACTTTTCCTTTAACAAATACACTTGGAATATTTCAATCATCACCCTAAAAAAAGTTAATCAAATCAACCACACAAAACACAAAACCAGATCATTCAAATCAAAATCAAAATCAAAAAAAGTTACAAACCGTAAACAAGAATTTTTCAAAGAAATCATTCAATTAAATTTCTTTTTGAAAAATTCATCAATAAAAAAAATTCGGATTACATTCATCCTGGTACTCCTTCAAATCCAAATCGAATCAATTCATCATCTTCAACCTTTTCGATCGGATCAAAGGAAACTCCAGTTTGTAGAATAATCCCATCAAACTCTTTACCAACTATAAAGTTACCAATTCGTTCTTCAAGATTACAAACTTTTGCACCACCTATAGTAGCTAAATAAAACAAATTCTTAATCGAATGTAAACTGTTTTGAATCTCATGAGTCTCCTTTAGAGGAGGATCATGATGATGTTGATGGAAACCTAAAGCTTTAGTAGCCATCATTTCATCTCTTATACACCTTAAGATTCCAATCCCATGTCCACCCGAAACATCTGTACCTAATCCAATCTTCTCAATTCCATCTTGTAATCAACTTTTCACTTCACAGATCCCCGATTTTAAATTAAAATTCAAACTTGGACAATGACTTGATCCACATTCTCATTTCTCAATCAAATCAATTTCACTCGGTTCTAAATGTATACAATGAGCTAAAATCGTAGGTGATGTAAATAAATCGAATTCGTCATGTATTTCTGTATATGTTTCTATGTTAGGGAATAATGATTTGGTAAATGAGATTTCTGATTTCGATTCACTTAGATGAGTTTGTAATCGTAAGCTTGGATCTGATTGGAGTAGTTGGCCTAGTTGGCGTAAGAGTTTATCGGTACATGAGATTGCAAATCGAGGCGTTAGGATCGGTTGAAGTAGAGCTGATGAAAAACCTTCCTTCTTGGAAAGTGATCTCTCTAAACATTCTGAATCGGCCAACGACCCATCTGTGAGTGGATGATCAGGTATTGAGGTCCTACATATCAGCTTTTTCAAGTTCAGGAACGCAGTCTTGTCGAATATAGTCAATGAATTCAATGGTATCTTTTATAGGTTCCTCCACCGAATTTCGCTTATAACGTTCAAATGTTTCATTCCGATCCATCTACAACCAAAAACAATATATCAAATCAACCAAAAAAATCCCATGAGATGGCAGTAGAAGGTGTTCGATGTGATGGAATGATCGGAGTGGTTTGTGAATCAGTCTCTGAATCTGATTCAATCGATTCGACTGCCACTAAACTCACCATGAAAGAGATTGGGTCAGTGTATTTATTATGGGACGATGAGTTGAAGGAGGATATCAACTTACAAGCTTGAAATGAACCACCAGTTGAGAAACCTGGTTTGAGTGAATTGGTGGTTTGATTTGATTTTGGCATCTTACTTGATTGGTTTGATGAAGTGTCTACTGAATGATAATCTGCTGAGCTGGTATTTCTTTTGAATGGTCATCAAAAGCTTAAGTACTATGTACTTACTCGACAGTCGACGTTAAGGGGTCAAAAACTCAATCAACAAACATTCAAATTTTAACATTCATCTGGATCCATTCATGATTCACCGTTTACTTCTCAAGTTGAACGAACCCCTTACTATATCTCTCATTTGACCAATCCATAACATCTCGAGTGGACTCAATCCATGCAGTTTATAGCAAAACAAATCATTACCCATCTTCAATGACCTATGTACCCGTCTAACGCATCCCAAGAGAAGATGGAAGGATTTGGATGAAGAGCTGTGACGCGTTCAGCTTAAGGCTATCAATCAACTTTTGATGCATTCATACTACTCTTGATCGCATATTGGATTGTTTCTACGTGATAACTAGGCCTGAATACGCATCAATAAGAAGAAAGCTCCGAGATAATAGCAAACAGAATTCGGAGTCCGTGTGATCGGAAATCTTAGCGGAAAATCCTTTGCTTCCTCTTAAACTCGTCTATACCTTGTCAATTAGAAAGGGCAACTAACACATCATTGTACTACATCATCTAGCGTAGGGCTGTGATTTGTTGAATCATCTGTGAATCAGATTGAATGCAGAGATCTTGGAGAATGAGAGACTCAGTACAAGATATTCGAGTTGAAACTCACAAACCAGCGAGCTCCAACTGAAGAATTCCCTGCGAGCAATAATCACTAGGATTGCTAATCCGATGAGACTTATAATTCTTTGATGCATAACTGAGCTGTACCAAAATACAGGAGATGACCATTCTGGGTTCAGGCAGAGAATTTCCTGGCTTCTTTTTAGATTTCTTGAGACGAGAAGATCACAATGATCTCAATTATCTTGACTCGTGAGTCTAATCAACAAAAATCAATTCTGTGTTACTAGGCTCGCTGAACTGCTTATAGAAATCACATTACTTCATCAAGCTTGTATTCAATAAACTGAAGTGTTGAACTTGAAGTAAATCTGAAGCAGAAGTAGTCCCCAGAATTTCCTCTTCCAGTCTCAGTTTGGAAGTTTGGTAGAAATGTGAGATAGCTGACTGGACTCTGAGATCAAATCAATTCATTCAAGTTGATTAGCTTTGAGGATATAAACGCTTTTTTATACCACCAAAATGCCACAAGAAACTCCGAGTCAGATCCTAGAAGATCCGATGAATCTTAAATTTCTCCAAAATAATGGGAAACTCTTATGAGACATAGACGTTTTTCCCAGTTGTTGCTTCAAAGTAGACCTTAAAACTGAGATTCAGGATTTTAATACTGTATCATTTAGCCAAGAAGTTTGATCAGAAAGTCTGGAGGTGTCATGAAAGGCTCTATGGGTTGTTTTCTTCTTGAGGAATTTTACAGATCTTATCGATAACATTCCTTGTTAAAAACATTCATCTGATTTAATCAATCGGTATGGAAAGACTTACTACGCGACAGAAAACTAGGAAAAACCAAGTATTCCGATGGACCTCTCCATCTTTTCAGTTCTTATAAATGAGATTACCTCTTATGGGTTTGTGATGGAGTCGGGATGCGAGACAGTCGTACCTTGAAAAATCTATTGTGTTCGTCTTACCTATCTCTTTACTTCTGCGATAGATCGATCCGTTCTGAAAACTGCACGATAATTCCAATCAACAATAAACGCTTCTCTGGCTGATAAGAGGAGATAATGAATGTGGGGATTCCAATTGTGTTGTGTAACTTGGATATGAAATTCATATATAGATATATGTATGAGCAAATTCCATCTTGCCTCCGCAGGTGTTGTTTGCGTAACGTGGTCTTGAATGATAAGTCTGACCAAGAATCATGTACAAACCAAATTTAAGGAATAAACTTCAGTCAAAGTGAGGGCCATTGATTTTGATACTAAATGAATGAGTCCTTGCCCCTGTCAATCCCCACTACCCGTTACCGTGGAATGCTTGAGGGCCAGCCATCTGACCAAGTCGGCAGATCCAAGAGCAACACATGCACAGTTCCTCACCTATATGGTTGGGTTTTCATCATTGGTTTTATTGGAAATATTGTAGAGAGAGTTATAGTGATCAAGCGACGCGGCTCCCGGATAGGAACCATGTACTGCTGAGACACTTAAGCCTTGCTGAAGTGAAAGGCATTGTGCTTTTGGCGCAATCTGCTGATTTTGAATTGTTTGACGAATCTCCTTGTAAATATGAAGCTGAATAAATCGCGGTCTATGATATGCATGAGAAGCATTTAAAAAGCAGAAATAGAATAGATCTTTAGCCTAGCTACGCGACATTCATTTACATCTTTGGGAAATCAATGAAAAGCTATTGGACCTGTGAGAATCGGAGATGATTTTGATGTTCAAAACATGAGTTGAATCTGGAGACTGGGAGAGAAATGAGTCTTTGCTTTTTCTCAAGACAGTTGCCAGAAAGGAAGGTCCTAACTGTAGACAGAGGCAGATAAAACGCTCGCTCGATTAAAGCCTGTTTTTCAACCTCTGAACTCGAAGAGTTTGAATTATCAAAATTCATGAAGAGAGTGGATTGACGCAAGTTGGAGGTGGGTATCAACAAGTGAGGTAGAGAAGGGGCGACTATATTACCTTAATCATATTATCTTTCTATCTGACACAGACTGATCAGCTTGCGTCAATCAGTACATATGTATTTTGTCGCGCGTATATAAGCTTTATGATCCAAACAAAGATAATGACTCACGTGACGCGCGTTGAAGCTGATCCGGCAACTCAGTATCTGAGCCATACAAATACCGTTCATCTTTCAGAGAGATCCAAATTTCACTTCATCATCCGTACCACCAACCCCCGATTCCATTCCTCCAATCCCCCTTTCACTTCCAATCTCACTTAACAAACTCCTCCGATTTCAAAGATGCCTCTTCCCCAGTTTAAAAGGATTTCCTTTCGTGATAGTCTTCTCGCTTTTCCATTCTATTTGGTTGTGTCCTTCTGTCTTCACGCCGCCTTATTAAACTTTGGTCATCTCGAACTTCATCCTGTCACCAACTTTTTCACCGTCTTTGTCTTCGACATCATCTTTACCACCTTCACCTTTCCTCTCTTCTACTTTCTCTACTCTTCCTTCATTGATTTCTTATCCTGGATGATGGATCGTCGCTCTCGTAACCAAGATCTCGACCTTCCTCTCCATCGATTTTATCCCGCCATCTCTCCACCTATCGCTTGTTTATGGGCTCCTTTGATTAACGTTACTCGTCCTACTGAACCTCCTTTGACCAACTTACCACCACCTTTTCCCAAACAGGACCCCGACTTTCTTCGTACTATCTATGAACCTCGTCTTAGAGAATATGTACCCCCGATTCAATTATTCGAGGTCTCTGAATCATCTGAAGTCGAATTATCGAGGCCCTTTGTTCTATTCGACCTCTCAGACACTACCTCTTCACCATGTATGTCTCCTTCTCCTCCTCCTTCTCTTTCCCTTCCTCTTCTCATTTGATCATTTACTGATTTGTTTGATTTTGCTCGATTTCAATTACAGCTCAATTTTGTGCGTTGAATGTAGATGAAAACATCTTAGGCTTTGTTCCATTGAATTAAGGTGGGAACTTCTTCCCTTTCATTCTTATGAGTTGTGTACTGATTTCTTTCCATTTCCAATTCTAGGACCTCGGGGTGGATGTAGCTGTTCGGAAATCTTAGAGTCTTTTTTAAGGATCCCACTATTTAGCGCCCTCGGAGCAGTATCCGGCGCCCCTTCTCGGGTCGGACACCAGGCTACAAACCTTTCTGGCGCCCCTTCCTACAAAAAGGGGCTCCTTATTTGATCATAAGGGGCACCCACGATCTTTACTTCATCTCCTCTATTTATCCTCCATTGATCTTGTTCAGTCAAGGGTTTCCTCTTTTGTACATGTAGACAACACCCATCTAACTATCTGAAGTAAGCGAAGTCGATACAGAGCCATTGTCACTTCGATAAAAGTGCGACAAGCTGAGCTCGATGAACACACAAGACCGTATGCATTGCATAAACATATCTCAATTAGTCAACCAACAAGTCGCTCATCATCTCCTAGCTTTTGAGATGATCATTCCTTTACTTGAAAACCCCACTGATGATTCAGTCCAGATTGCGGTCGGTTTCACCAAAGAAGTTGTTGCTTTATTTTCGGAGGCTGAACCTAAAGCCAATAACAGTGTTTATGAACGATTCCGTTTAATCTTACATGAAGCTACCATTAGCAAACGAGTTCAATACATGATTGAAGTCTTATTTCAAGTTCGTAAGTATCGATTCAAGGATAATCCAGTCTTGCCTGAAGGATTGGATCTTGTCGAAGAGGACAATATCATTACTCATCATAACAGAGGCAGAAAACAAAACAAAACAAAAGGACACAAACTACAAAAACAAACATACCACAAGTGTAGAGTGTCCAACATAAGAAACAGACTATCAATCCTGATTTATTGAATTCACAAAGTAAGGAAGAAAATTCATTGATATGAACTTTCAAGCTGTCTGATCTGATTTGTGACATGGTTTGCAGAGCGAGCTCGATATGCTTGAGCTTTAGCCTTGTAAGAGTTGAAGTGAAAAACTTTGAGATGATTCCAGACCACAAGAGGATCATGAACAATTTGCATATCTCTAGTAGTTGGATCTCTAACAGTTAGTTCATCTCGCAGCCCCATCAAGGATGGAAGGGCACCAAATAGGTCAACTAACGATTAATTGGGGCTCATTTGCGAGTTTGTGCCCTCTTAGGGAGCCCTCGAGGTCCGACTGTGCAAAATATAGGCTGAAAATAGTCGGGTGTCAGCGGGTCACACGGGTTTTGGTGAAAACCCGGGGGGCTCCGGATATCAGCCAAGGGGGCGCTAAATAGTGGGATCCTTTTGTTATTCATTTTGGGTCTGCTTTATTGATAACTTGTTATTGTTTGTTGCGGATAATTTTTAAGTGTGTTTGCTAGGTAATTCAATGAGCTACTTGTCATCAGAGACTACATAGGTACTTTAACTTATGAAAACAGTTTGAGGATAGTATGGTGAGGATTCTCAACAGCTGAATTCGGATAGTCAGTTAGCCAAATGGCTGCAGCTCTTCCCACTCTTTGAGTCAACTTCATTGATTTTTTTGAGAGCCTCACAACCATACAAGCACAGACTCAGTGCGGTCCACCAAGCCTATTTGATAACTATTGAAGGATTCTCAGACACTCAACTTGTTGTATCTAGAACAGAATTTGCCTTAGCAAGGATGATTTGATAAAAACATCTATTTGAATTTTGACACCTATTGCTGTTTTGCCCCCGGTCCAATCATTTACACCAGACCTAATGTGTCTGACTTTTGAATCATACCAAGCCCTCTCGAGATATTTTAAATCACCAAATTGACCCAGCCGTGATAGAAAAATTTGCTAGAAAGAGTTACAAAGCAAGCAAGCAGGTGTTGCATGTATTCATTCACACTCCAGTTCAGGGTTCCCTTGCAAAAAAAGTAGTTTGTACCACCAGAAAAAGATGGTCTTGAAAAGGTAAGTTAGGAGCTTTGTTGTACAATTAGACATACTCCAAAGATGAATTAAGTTTTGACAAAGAATTCATCAAAACAAATCCAAGCAGCTCAATCAATCCCACTTCCAGTTTCGATCTAGCACCATCTTCTCAAAACTAATGAACTTTTCTTAGTTGGGTGGAAATTGAATTTAATTCAAGCATTGAGTTTGATTGCAATCACTGAATCACATCGTCACTTTGAACCTCTGTAACGGTTCTGACAGTGTGGTTTCTCGTTCAATTGTATCTTTCACTGAGATTTTTCTTTTGATCATGTTATTAAACTTAAGATTGCAGTAAGAGCTTCACCAATTTTTCAAAGGATTCTACATACATACTTCAAGCTTGATTTAAGTAAATCTAATGCAGTCACAAGACATTATCATCCTTAGCACCATGAGATCGGTGGCTCGTTTTCAACAAGCGGTGAAGGATAACCTGTTTGATGGTCTGACATTTTTTGGTCTAGTTTATAGAATCTGACATTTATAGTATGACTCCTTCTATCTCCAAGCTTGTGAGACCTAACTTGCAGACTGAAATGATTTTGATTCTCTCAATCTTTCTTCTTTGGATCCTTGTCATGCTGAGGGGTAGTAACCCAAGAATGATTTCAAAGCAAACCTTCACTTCTTAAATTCTGGTGGCGTAAAAGATTATAAGTATTGATCTTAAATAATGATGAGTTCTAAAAATCATTCAAAACTTCAATTCCTATTCTTAACACAAAGATCAGCAGAAGGTGTTGGCATGAATTTTGAATCTGTCTTACTTCAATGGGAATTGGAATAATCATGATCTATCATTCCTTGCAATGTAAAACCCTGGCATGATTTTGGACTTAGTAAAGTTTGATTGAAATTGATTAATTTTTTGTTTTGTTTGATTTGATTTGATCAAACTTGAAGAAATTTAAAGCTTGCTACTTGATCAACATTAAATATGTAATGTAAAATAAAGTTAAAGTGAAAAGGAAAATCAAACAACAAAATATTATAGGAATTTACAAAAAGAACCAGTTCCAAAATTGAGAAATCAAGTTTTTAAAAAAGTCCACTATTTGTGGCCCAAAGAAAACCCATGTAGGCTCTGGCTCTGCCAAAAACAGGGCCTACATGGGTTTTTCCCACAAAATTGGATGCAGGCATTCAAAAATCATGCCCACATTACAAATTTTGAATGTAGCCACTGTCAGTATTAAAGAGGTTCCCAGATAGGGATATGGGTCCTAGGGACCAGATTCCCCTTCTGTTCCTGTTACACTGCTTTATGAATATTTCACAAGTAGTGATTGTGATGTATGTACAAGTGCATTTGGAAAATATACAACACATTAGTTGGGGCCGGCGGAGTAAATGTGTCATATGTTTTCCGAATGCACTTGTAAATACAAGTCAACTTTTTAAAACACTTGTATCAATCTGAACCAGGGCTGTGGCCCGGGCACAACCCCGACCGCAACCATGTCTCAATGGTCCACATGGCCGGTCGCAGGGCCACAAGACCTAGCCTGGCAATGCTCCAAAAAGGCCCTGCAGACGTCTCGGGCGCCTGACCCCACCAGGTCAGCATTGGTTTTCTTGTCACTAAGCCTATTAATAAACAATGTTTGAATGAAAACCAGCTGTGATACAACTTACCTGCCAGCTGATCATCACCCATTGCCCCTACCAAGCCTTGGGGCTCAACTTCTGGCCTTGCCCTCAGTGAGCTGAGTTGTTTTGGGGAGCCATCAGGTCACATCAGGTCCGGGTCTGGTCGCAAGGCCGGCCCCGAGTTTGCAGGTCCGGGCCACAGCCCTAATCTGAACAAAGCTACAGTACATATTACATGTGATTTGCTTATCCAGACAAGTAGATAACTGAGCAGAACTATATCCAATCAGATATTTAATGATTTGTATTAATGGAATTTTTTTCCATGAAAGTAGTAAACTTATCAAAAAAACAAAACATGATGAATTGCTTCAAAGAATTGTAGCCTTAGAAGTGTGATAAACCAAGGCATGCATTGAGCAGTGAAGTCTGAACTTATAGACAATGAGTTTGAAGTTTGGTGTTCTTTGACCTTATCCAAAGATCTGTATTGAAGACAAGATTGATATCATATGGTTAGCATTCTTCATCAATGTGTTTGTACCAGTAGGTAAGCTTTGGTGTACTTTGGATGAACTCCTCATGGTAGTATCTATACCCGGTCAATCACCTTTAGATTCACCTTTATTTTCTAAATCATGTTTCCATCCACCTAGAACAGTTAAATTATGTGAACTTCTTCACTTTCAAAAAGTGATTTCTTAAATGCTTTCAAACCCATATAAAACATTTCCAGTGAAAATTTTGTGAAACTAGCAAAGTGATTGGCAAACTGCTTTGGTCAATCCCAAAAGATGAGTGTGGACCAAAGAAGTTGAGGCTTTTCAGTGAAATTACTGGAGCCCCGGTTTCCAGTGATCAGAATTCCAAACTTTTGAAGAGATAATTGTATCATTATCACATTATATCAAGCCTGATACAGACAATTAATGTTGGACAAACACATGTTCAGGTGATTCAAGTGGAATATATATGACTTGTAAAGGAATCATTCTGAGTTGTAGTGCTTGTACAAGATTGATTTGTGATCTTGTGGAAGTAACATACTGTTGAGGTGTGGCAACACACTCTTTAAGGCTGTCTTTTTGAATGGAGACAAGCAAACTCTGCATTGAGGACCACTTGGTTCCCTTATGTTGTTTGGAAGGAGAAGTCTGGTTACCAGCACAGTCTAACAGTCTGAAATCACAAGAAGACCTCTTCATGATCTATTTCAAACCTCTTGGTGTGTACACATTGAGGTACTACACGGAGATGGACATGGTGACAATTACCATTGCAATCCTTCACAACAGTCAAATTCCTATTGTTGAGAACTGTTGTCCTCATGTATGGAATGTAACATGTACTTCATCTTCTGTTTATGCCATCTCAGGGCTTTGACATCAATATATCCCATGAAGTTTGAATTTTTCTTCAACAAAACTTGAAGGACTAAGAAAACAACCAAAGCCTTCTAAAGTTACAATTCAAGGACTTGTACACTACAAAATCATTTCATGTTACCTTTAACTCTGAGATGCCCAATCACCTGACCATATAATAATGGCGCTAGGTTCTCTCTGATACTTTGGATTGTTGATATTCTTGCAAGAAGTAATCCTATAATTATTGAAGCGGTGTGTTGTACTCTTTGATCATCAATTGATGAGGCATGCCGTCCTCTTGGAAATTGGGATCACATTGAGAATAAAATTAAACAATAATATAACCAAATGAGCGTAGAACTGAATAATCAAACGAAGAGAATGGCTTGATGACGTACCCAAGAAAGTTTCACCAAAAGCAACAAAATCAAGTTTCTCATAAAATTTGATTGCTCGGACTTGTGAATGTAATGAAATTTTGAATTGATTTGAATCTGATTTTAAAAAATGATCTTCCATCAACTTTATAAATTTTGAACCTAAACCTTTGCCTCTATAAGACTTCAAGATTGCAATTCTGGATAATTTGATCTTTGGTTGTGTTGTGAAACGTAAGGTGCCTACTGGAATTGAATGGCTGGATAAGATCACATGGGTCGTATGATCATCTAGACTAGGTTTCCAATTGAATTTAAGCATTAGTTATTTGGCTTCATATGAGGAATCTGGAGGAGAATTCGGAGTGCGTGATTGGAAAGACTTTTGGATTATGCACGACGATCGAAATTGCGATTATTGAGAATAACTACACCGAGACTCACTCGTCAAATTCATCTTCTGCTTTAAACCCTTGCTCTTGTACAAAAACCTATTGATATGACAAAAATTATTGAGATTGATAAAAAATTATACAATGACGAGGGGAAAAGATAATCAAAACCACCACAGACAAAGTTGATGGAGTAAGTTTCACATTTGATTTTGTGCGGGTGTTTTTCTCTCTTTTTTCATTCAATGTTCAACTTACCTCAAATCGAATGCGTTTACAGATGTCGAACTTTTCTTCATCCTTTGAAGTTAAAAAGGTGATGGAAGACTGAAACGAAAGGATATCAGAGCACTTTCTAATTTCTTAACCAAGTGTGCACAACTTTCAAGTATCAAAGAATGCTGAAGTACCTCTTCTTTAGTATTGGATAAGTCCGTATTATGCATCTCTATTTTTTCCTTTTCTTTCGCTATTTCCTCAGCTGAATATCGTAAGGAAGAAGCCAATCCCGAATGTATCGGGTGGAGTGGTTTCCCAATGTACGAATAACTTCAAGGATATCGGATGCACCGGTGATAGGATGACACAAAAGTGGGAAATGAAAGTTGAAATGATTGCCCATTCTTAAATTTTTCATTATACAAAATGTATTTTGCAATTTATGTATTCAATTTGAGTTCAACTCAAATCTGGTATCAAACAAGTCTAACATGACGTGCAATTATCTTTGTACGTAGACTCAGAAGAGAAAAGTGAGAAAAGGTTTGAAAGAGAAACAGAGGATGCTGAAGCAAGTCTTCAGACGAATTTCAATGCAGGTTGAGCGGAGAAATGTGCTCGGAGCCTGTCGGAGCTTCGTAAAGCAAACTTCACCAAGTCCTGGGGCTCGGTCGCGAGCGGCACAGCGTGAGACTCTGATGAGTTTAACCAAGTCCCACCTCGCCAAAGGCCCGAGGCCCAATGAGTTTGTTTGTAAAGGAAATTTGTGACTTGCTTCGTAAATGCGTTTGAGATTCAAGGTTACTTTCAAAGTATTCAAAAATCATTTAATCCCGCAAAAACGCAGGACTTTTTTTCTTGGGGGTGGGAGGCGAGGAATTATGTATCAGTGATCAAAATGAGCAGGCCATACGTGAGGCGATCGGAATTCTGAAAGGGTTTTACATTTGGTAAAACTTTGATATCACGAACTTTATTTGGAACCCGCCTACACAAACTTATCACTCATCATAAAGACGAAGCTTAATTCCGAGAAGGAGGAGGGTCAAGAAAATTACGGGGGCCGTTCTCGACGAAAAGGCTCAGCCGAGAGCGAGAGCAACGCCGTAGTCATTCAAACTTCAAGACGCGTTCGATAATAGGTGCTCTTCTATATGAGCATGTTCCTTTCATCTACCCCTTCATCCTCTCGTTTGTCTATTCCCCCCTCGCACTGTTTGATTCCCATTTCTCGACTTCCAAAAATTCATTGAACTTCAAACACACCATCGGCACTTTCTTCGACCTACTGTGCCAAACTCTTGGACTATATATACTTCATTTTCATCGTCATACGTGGTCAAGAATGAAGCGCAAAATTGGAGTTTTCCAGCCAAAGTCATGGCTTATATCTTACTTGAACCTATGTCTCTTTGTTCATAGCGCTAAACCAGCTCTGACACCTCATAAATACATGCCAATCTCATCACCAAGTAAAATTGTAGGAAAATCGTCTTTGTCTCCAACAAGACATACTAGTAGTAGTACATACATGAATTATAACCTTGAACGGAAAATTCCTACTTCACCTGATCAAGTTGCTTGTACTCGGTCTTGGTATTCTTCTGAAAGATCTAGGACCTCCTCAGGTGGTTCGAGTTCTGATCATACTTCTCTTACATTTGATGATCATGAAAAACTTGACGCAATGCAACTTCATACACCATCTCCTGAGTTTCAAGAATGGGATCACTCTATCAACCTTTCTGATCCATTGAAGAGTAAAGCTCTGAAATCTAAACAAGATGATTTACCAGGACCTAAAGACATACAAGCTAGAATTACTTTATTAACACAAACAGCTCATCATATTGAAGGTCTATTGAAATCAGTTGAAGAAGAGCATATCACAATAAAAAAAGCAGAAGAATTGAGAAATGAAATAGTTTCTTATCAAATCATCTTACAATCTAGCTTATATGAACTGTCACACTTTCAGAACAAAATTCATTCTTACATGACTGAACTACTGAAATCACAAGCTGATTTTGAAGATTCTCTAGCTAGTAAAACAAACCTTGTTCCTGGATTTGTAGAGGGTCTTGGAAGACTTGAGACTCAACTCAAACAATCCTCAATGATGAGATACATTGCAACTCAGAGGGGAGAAAGTGGATGGGTTAAATCTTGGCTAGAAGATTTGGGGAACCAAGATCAACCCAAAATCATCTCCCTGCAATCCTTGAACAAATTATCACAAGAACACTTTTTACCCAAGTTCTCTCTATTCAGTAATCAAGCATTTGTGGTATCAATTTATGAGGAGTTACTCTCAGGTTTTGAGTTATCTTTTGCTGAAGAAAAATTGATTGAAAACTTTAAAAATAAAGCTTCATTATCTACATCTGATTATGAATTGTTCAATGAATGTGTGATCAGGTTTTTGATCCATCAGCTTTCACACAATGAGCTTCAAAGGAAGATAGATGTTTGGTCAAAGTTGATATCCAAGATTGAATTAAGCATAGATGAAGAAATGACAATGTACATATTAGAAAAGACACATTTAACTCAACCAATAAGCTTGACTCAAAATCAAAATTTACAAAGTCTAAAGGTTAGAAAAGCCATATTTGCTCTCATGAAAAGATATCTAAAGGCTTTAGAAGATATTGATCACAGGCTTGATTATGTAAGACAATTATCAAAAGACGAGCAAGAATTTTTGAAAAAGCATTTTGAGATTGAATTGATAGCTATGAGAAAAATGTTAGAGTCTTTTGAAATGTGGGATCAGTCACCTACTGAATTACAAGCAGAAATGAGGTTTCAACCTCAAGCGCGCCAACATCAAATTCAAATTGGAATTCATTCAGATCTTAACACTGACTTAAGTGTAGCTAGAGATTTCATCAAACACATAGAATCAGATCTTTCAAAATTAAAACCAAAAATCAAAATGCAACTCTTTGCACCATTTCTATCAGAGATTAGATCTGCTAGTTATATTATGAGTTCATTAGACAAACCCCATCTACCATTAACTGTGATACAAATCATGAAAGCTAAGGGAGTCAAAGAGATAAATGAACTCTTTTCATACATGGTGATTAACAAACAACTTCAGGTTCTAGAAGAAAAGTTGAGATTGATTGGGACTGATGATCATAACAATTGTAAGCCTGAAGAGAGAGTGATGCTCATGATTCAAGAGTTGAATGACCTAGAAAAGAAGCGGTTGATTGCACTTCAACCTGATGAAAGAGGGCAAGCTATGTTAGAATTGATAAAGAGATGTGATATAAAGCCCATAAGTAGCAATGAAGATAGCCTTTTAGAAAAGTTGAAAGCAAGGGATATTCTTGAGGGGGATGAGGTACACCATCTATCAATTTTAGCCGATCAATATCAGAAGGCCATCATAAGTACTATTTCTGAGAATGATCTGGCCCTCTCACACTTCTTGTGGTTAGAGGACAAGGGTACACTGTCTGAAACACATGAATTACAAGATTTATTTTTAAGGGATCCATTTTTGGCCCAAGAGGTCAAATTCACACTTCAAAGAATTGCATTCTCACCAATGGAAAAATTAATTCTTTTTAGGATCACTGAAAAATATATGGAAGAAAGTTTAGAAAATATTGTTTTGAATGAACTTCAAAACAAGTTGGTCATCACAGGAAGTCTTTCACACTATGAGAACAAGATCAAAAATCAACTTGAAATGCCAAATTGGAGACAGGAGCGTGATAGTGATGATAAATTCAAAGTTATGAACCAGATATACAGAGATCATCTTCATTCTAAGGCCATCAACAAAGATGAGAATACTCTCTATCTGAGGATAATACAAGGTGGAAGAATTTCAAATAAGATGGATAAAATGGATTTGGGTTTTGGTGAAATGGATGAGTTGAAAGCACTACAATTCAAAATTCAAAACAATATTGATAATCAAATATCAGAGAGACAGATCAAAACCATCCTCAAAAAAGTGAAGCAGAGGTCAGATGTGATCCAAGATCTACAGGTTTTGAGACATAAACTCTCGTTCAATAGAATCAAAATGAAGGAATTAGCATTGAATTTTGACAAACTCATGAGAGAGTTTCAGTCACATAAAGAAGCAGAGGAATCTAGGATCTCATACCTCTACAAAAAATACTTGAGAGCAAAGAACAGGTTTTCAATGGAATCTTCAAAAAATGGATCTATCTCTCTACTTTCATTTTCTTGTCATCTCCAAACCTAAAAAGCCTGGGATACATCAGGCACATAATTTTAAGGCGTTTTTTCATCTTATTGAAGTTTAGCTTAGCAAAAAAGGCTATCAACCTTGAAGCCACAGTCTTGCCATGCTTGGAAGTTATATTCACAACAAATCTTGTCAACTCAATCCATCCCGCTTGTTTGCTTTTGAGTTTTGTACCCATTGTTGTCATTATCATTTTGTCTTCAAAAAAAAGAACTTTCTTCCAGTGCTCAGCATAGTCATGGTCCAGCAGATCAATTCCTGTCTTTCTTGATTGTTTTGAGTTCTAGTTTCTTTTATACTCATGCCAATAAGCTCGCTGTCTTTTGGTCTTGCCATCTGGTAAGTTGAGTTTTTATTTTGAGGAAAATGTCCAGCAAATCTTCCTTGATGGCTCACATATGAGAGAGTCCTTGACTACAAGCAGAGGATGGTGTAATTCACTGATCCATCACATTGGCAAAATAGTCTATGCTATACTATGCCATGAGGTACTTAGTAGCACTGACCAAAATTTATAAGAGGAGTCAGAAGAAACTTTCACTGTGAACATCATTGAAGAGGAAAATGATTCATAGTACAGTTGGTAATAACAGGATCCAATACTGCACACCTGAGCCATAACACTCACACAACATATGTGCAGAGAGCTAAGTAAATAGTTGTCTATCATGTACATACAGGTCTGCTCAGTTTCTTGCCCTTCAGAATAAATAAATCACATGTTATATCACATGTAACTTTTTTGACTTTGAACAAATTGTCCCAAAAATTCACTACATACAATTCTGTAGCTGCTCAGGTAATATCAATGAAGCTATTTCTTAGTAACAGAAAGGGTGTTACATGCAGTTCAGTTGATGAGATTAGAGCACCCACTATGGTTGCGTTAACTTGGTGATTTAGTGTTACCCTAACACTAAAATACCAACAGGTCCACTATGGACCTGTTTTAAACTTGCGGTCTGTATGGCTGCATCAAGTCTTGCACTTTGTGTGCTCAGGTCTACGCAAGCCTACGACTTGATTTATCATAGGAACTAGGGAAAGCAGACAATAAATCATCCCATAGTGGATTTCATGCAGTTACCAACTTTGGTAGAACACGCATGATCAAACTTTGTGCTCAGGAACGCAAACTTTACAATAAAACACTCCCACCATAGTGGGTGATCTTACACCAAAACATTGAGTCAGTGTTTTAAATTCAAAGGATGTATGACATATGAATAGCTTATCTTGATGAGCAGATAACTGAGCAGAACTGTACGTACATGATAACCACCTATTCACTGAGCCTGCTACACATATGTAGTGTGGGTGTTATGGCTCAGGTGTGAAATGGGAGATCATTTTATGACAAATTATACTCCCAATAATTTTTTCCTGCCCACTTGGGGAAGTTGATGACATTACAAGCAGTTGATCTGACACTTTTGTTGTCCACAAAATAGTGCTGCATTCAACCAGATTGACCCCTCAGACACACAGGATACAACATGGGTCTTGGTAAATTCTATAATTGAGGCATACATTGTGAAATATGCTACATTTGTGCAAACCAATTTTCATAAGTCTTCAACCCTTGTGTCTGAGATGAATTATCTTGTATTCAGATTTATCATGTCAAGCCATAACAGGAAGTACTGAGGGAGACCTGCGCTCAAGTGCCTCTGTCTAAAAAATGTATTACACACGCCACCAAATTTTCTGCCTGTGAGTTCACAGTTGTCTAAAGTGTGATACAGAGCAAATTTTCCACCAATCACCGTGTCCTTGTGGCAGTCGCCCGACGACGAGCGCACACGGACTGCCTTTGAGGCACAAAAGCGACTCGCGTGCCCTTGTCAACGAGTGAACATCACAAGGACATGATGAATTAGGCAAAATTCTGAGGTGGATTTTACGTGAGCAAGTGGAAAGGTAGGTCTAGGTTCAATTTGGGATACTCAAGGAGAGCTTGAGCTCAATGGGCACTGAGAATTTGTTGATGTGGGTAGGACAAGGAGAGTGTGAAGTGAGTGTACAACAGTGTGAGATGGCTAGAAGGGATCAATTGTGTTCAGTACTAATCTGAGCTATCACAGCTGTGCAGGCTGAGATGTTGTGACATTATAAGTACTAAGCATATGTTGACTTTCTCTTGCTTTTAGTCATCTTGCAACACCATTTTAGACAAAAAACGTCAACTGCACATCAAGCTCACAATACCCAATTGCACTTTGACTAAAGAGTACTCTCAATGGTTACTGTCATTTAAATTCATCATGAAGCAAGAAATGGAGGCCAGATGAAGCAGCTTGAAGTGAGGGTGAGATCATGAGACTATGATTTTGATCAAGAATGGGTAAAGTTTTCTCATGATGTGCCAATTTACTGTTCAGCCATGTGCAGAATCTTTAAATTTAGATAAAAGAAAACACCTGAGTTTTCAATAAAGAGCTTTAGTTTTTTAAAAGCTTGTTACACTACAAGAAACATAAAATTTTCTGGGCAGAAAATTAAATTATTTGTATACAAAAATCTGGAAAGGTCAGAAACAGAGTGAAAAATATGAAAAAATATACATCCTGTTCCTGGGTTTGAGGTCTCCAATCTGCATATTTTTCCATATTTTTGGGGTTCATATTGGTGAGTGTACTAACAATAAACCCTCATAATCATCAGATCACCACCTGTAATAGATGATGAAATTTGGCTGATCAGTGCTGAGAGAAAGTTTTGATTACTATAAAACCCCATAAC